ATAGAGTAAGTACTGTGAAAGACATGCTTTCCATACATTAGAATCAGCTCTACAGCACTACTTATGCTCTGCTTAAGTCTCAAATATTTAATCTCTTTGCTCTACTATCAGCTGTTGTCAAGGGAGGTCTGGTGGCTTAGTGGGTAATGAATTGCACCGCCCATGCAAAGGTACACAGTTCAGATCAACCAGCTGATCTGTAGAAGAAAGATGGACCAACCTGCCATGCGATTTACAGCCTCTGAAAACCTGCTGGACGGTCAACTGTGAGTTGGTTCTAGTCGATGGCACAGAACAGCAGCAGCATTGACTGGTCAGTTTATATCATTTAATTTTAGTAATGGTGTGTTCACGAACTTCCTGGGAATTGAGAAATCCACAATTTAACTTCGTGAACTGTGGTGGAGCCTCAGGAGGTGGCTGTGTCCCAAAGAAGCCCCTGACCTCCTCTGCCCTTGGTGGCCTCCCTGAGGCAGGTCAACTCTCAGTCACCAGCTACCCTGGTCAATTGTCCAGTTTGAGTGAGTCCTAGGCTATGAACCTTGACACTGTAAGATATAACATGAAGCCCATTTATAAAAGCATGCAGGGCTCAAGTAAGAATCAGGGCAGACTCTTCTAAGACAGAATGATTTTCTAAGATGGATTGTTCTGTACAGGAAACAACCTTGAAGATGACCTTGATTTAGTCACTGGGCTAGATGTGCCCAGAGATGACCCAGAAGCTTGTGAAAATGCAATTTCTTGGACCCTTATCCTGGCAATTTAGATTCTGCATGTTAGAGTAACTCCTGGGCATTGGCACATTTTCTGTGGTACAGGAGGTTGATGGCACCTAACAACAACAAATTAAAAGACAAATTGTTACGTGCACTGCAGGCCTGCTAAGTAAGGCTTGAGTGTTTTACATATATTATTGATTATCTTCCCTGCAACACCGCAAGGCTGCAGCATCTTTTCCAAGTTACATATGGAGATGCTCAAGACTCCTGGGAATGGAAGGGACTCTTTGAGGGCCAGGCCCTAGTAAATTATAGAAGCCAGGTTTGAGTCTGAGGCTGTCTGCCTTGAATTTGTTATATATACTTGAGAGCAGTTTTTAAAAACTGCAGGCTGCAATTTATTCAGCTCAAGTTTTCTTTGTTTTGCTATCATTTTCTAATTGTTATTAGAGTGACAGTTTATAAAGTAAGTTGGCTTTTCATTCAGCCGTTCATACACTTTTTGTATTATAACATTAATTACAATGTCCACAATGTAATTAATTGAAAGTACTCCCACTTCATTCCTGTAATTCTCATCTCCATTGTCTCATCTCATCAACTTGTCTCTTCTACCTCTTCTCACCTTCAGAGCTTTATCCTGGGGAACATTCTACTCTTTTGACCTCACATACATAGTTGGCTGTTCTAAAGACGGAGAGCTTACCTGGTGTGACTGGTCACCCTATTGCTGTTATTTACCATCAAGTCCAAACTGGCCCATAGCTGAGTTTGAAGAGACAGTAAATTGTGTGTGAGGACATTGCCCACCTTTGTGCCACAGAGCAGCAACTGGTGGATTCAAACCATGTGCCTATGGGTTAGCAGGGCAGTTCCTTACCTGTGTAGGCCTATCTATTTTCTAGCTGAAAGTTAAGCTGCAGGGGTTAAGTTTAGATTGAGCTTTGAAGGGTGACTAAGGACCATGGACTCGGAAGTTCTTCCATTCTCTACCATACTGATAAGGCTGGCCTTATTTTCTATTTCCAAGTTTTGTTCCACATTTTCCTCCACTCCTCAGGATTGGAGTGCAATGGTCAGTAGCAGCTGGGCACCACCTAGTTCTTCTGGTCTCAGGGTTACGGAAGCAGACATTTGTGTGGCCCATTAGTTCTTTGGACTCGTTCAGTCACTACATCTTTACTTTTCTTCTCTCTCTTTGTTCCAGATGAAGAGAGAGGCCAGTAGTTGCACTTTTGATGGTTGCTCAAAAGCTTTTAAGATTCCAGTTGCTACTCACCAGAATGTAAACACTATCTTTATGGACTACTTTAAACCAGTGACCTTGATGTCCTCCAAGACCACAGTTCCAAAGTTCCAGAGCCAGCAACTCACTCCTTCAAGGTGTTTGGTTTGGGTTAAGAAGCTTACAAAGCGTTACCTACTGCTGACTCTACTATATACATGGATGAATTTATTGTTGTTGTTGTTGTTGTTGTTGTTATGTGCCATCGAGTTGTTTCCGACTCATAGCGACCCTATGCACAACAGCTCTAAACCCTGCTCTATCCTGTGCCAACCGCACCGCCTCTGACACACCCATCCCGATTACCCCAGTCACCGAATCAATCCATCTCATAGAGGGTCTTCCCCTCCTGCGCTGTCCCTCCACCCTCCCAAGCATGATGTCCCTCTCCAGGGACCCGTCCCTCCTGGCAACATGTCCAAAGTATGTCAGACGAAGCCCCAGAATCCTTGCCTCCAAGGAGCAGCTTGGTTTAATCCTCTCCAAGATGAATCTGCTTGTTTTCCTGGCAGTTCATGGTACATTCAGTACTCTTCTCCAGCACCACAGCTCAAAAGCATCCACTCTCCTTCTGTCCTCCCTAGTCATTGTCCAACTCTCTGATGCATAACAAGCGATTGCAAATACCATCACCTGTGTCAGGTGCACCTTAGTCTCCAGAGAGACACTGTTGCTCCTGAGTACCTTTGAGAGGTCCCTAACGGCAGTCTTTCCCATCGCGATACACTTTTTGATTTCCTGACTGCTGGTACCAAGAGTGTTGACTGTGGAGCTGAGCAAAGTGAAGCTGTGAACACTCTCAATCTCTTCGTCATCCATCCTGACGCTGCCAATTGGTCCAGTGGCGAGAATCTTTGTCTTCTTGACGTTGAGCCTTAGTCCATACTGAAGGCTGCAGTCCTCAACCCTTCGCAGCAAGTGCATGAGGTCCTCCTCAGTTTCAGCAAGCAAGGTTGTGTCATCTGCATAACGGAGATTGTTAATAGATCTTCCACCAATCCTGATGCCACAATTCTCCTCATAGAGCCCAGCCTCTCGGATAATCTGCTCTGCATACATGTTGAAAAGGTATGGAGACAGGATGCATCCCTGGCGTACACCCTTCCCTATTTTGAACCATGCAGTGTTACCCTGCTCTGTTCTCACTACTGCCTCTAATACAGATAAAAATACCATTTACTTTCTTCATATAGAAATCATCAGTGGTGCCTATGAAATAGTATATCAGCCCACTTTTTAAAAGTGAAATTTAATATATCAGAGTATTTATCTTATGGTGGTCTTGTTGTTGGTAAGTGCTGTTGAGTCGATTTTTATAATGGCACCATGTAACAGTAGTTCCCTGCTCTGGTAGAGTTTTGTAGGCTGTAACCTTTAGTACAGATCTTTTCTCCTTTATAGCAGCTGAATTAGGTTTGAACCACTAACCTTCTGGTTAGCAGCTGAGTAACTATTGCACCATGAAGGCTCCTCATCTCGTAGTAAAAGTCAAGATTAGTTCAGGAAAACTTGTTTCAGTGGCATCCATTGATGTGTGGGAGGTGTCTCAGGCCATGATGTAAAATGCTTTTCTCCGTGTGAGTCGTGGTCAGCAAGGTCTGGAAAAGGCCATTTTAGAGACTCCACTAATGGACAAGAAGGTGGTTTGATGACCTCTGAAAGTGCCGAGGAAGACAGTTTAGAACTCAGTCGGCTCAGTCATGAAGAAATCCCTCATGTCGGTCGTCGCTGCTCTTCTGTTTATGGAAGTTTGATGGACTAACGGTCCAGCATTTTCACATCAACGTGGGGTCAGGTGAGTGCTCACAGGACGTGGTCATCTGCTAACATCATGAAAACTCAGTGATCTCTCTCCTCAAAGACAAGAGTGTGTCAAGTTTTAAAGGCCAGGCCCTGCTCCAGCTCCCTGCAAATTCTGAAAACTTGTTCTCAGTCAACCCTACAAAGAAAGGAGGAGGTGAGCTCACCCCATGAAGAGATTTTTCTCAACTGATGGGTCTGGGTCCACCTGTGGCAGAATCGACCTTGGGAGAAATCAGTTCTCAAGACCCCACCTCTGACCTACGGAACCCAACTCGCTGGGTAAGGAGTCTGGTAATCAGAATTCACAATAATTTTGCATCAATTCTGAAGTTTGACAAAGCTGGAGAGCCACATCCTCCCACTTGGAGTGGATCTTGGGATCCTTGAGCCACATCTGGGATCCCTAGATGTGCAGGGAAACACCCTTTACATGTAAGGTGAACACGTCCTCAGCTGGAGCACCTGGTTAGGCAAGCACGCGGTGAAGCTGTGTGTGTTTATTGGCTCCAGTTTGAACTGCTCATCATTCTAAATGAGAGGTTGACAGAGACAAATGCAGGTGAATGAGCCCTTCTTTGCACTGTTGTGTCCTGTGAATCACACTTGGGCAAAACAAGCCACACTTGGCAGCAAATATCCTCCCCACCTGTGTCCATTTGGATGGATGATTATGACACCAGGCACTGCCCACCCCTCACCTTCCCTGTCCAACAGCCTGATGCTCTCCAAACACAGGCGCCTGCTCACTAAGTGAAGGGAACCCCAGGGCAAGGCGTTGTGGGATAGATAGCTTCACAGTCGTTGAGCAACTTTGAGCTGGAACCCACCCAAAGCTGACCATCCAGCATGTTTTCAGAAGCAGTAAATTGCATGGGAGGAGATTGCGCATCTTCCTCCAATGGAGCAGCTGGTAGATCTGAACCCCGTACCTTTGGGTTGGCAGCACAGTTCCTTACCAGTAAGTCACCAGAGGACCCTGTATTTCTCCTTGCCCATCCCTCTACCATGGAGTCACTGACTATACAAGGGTGATGGAACTTTTCTTAAGCCAGGGAAGAACCAGCACTTTGAGTCCTCACAAACCCGCAAGCCCTTGAGCTGCATCCTTTCCAACATCTGAGGATAGATAGGTTAGGGAAGGGGTGAAGGAATCGCCGATTTTCTGCTGTTCCGCTGGGATTTTCGCAGGCATGAGGACGAGTGAGTGGCCGTGCTGCCCAGTGAACGTGCCTGTCTGCCTCCTGACCAGTGTTTCCTTTCTCTCCTCTCCCCTTTTCATCGCAGGACACAACGGACTGGTGGCTGTGAGTACCACCTTCGCCCTTGGCATTGTACCACTGCTCTTAGCAGTCTGGGGAGGGGTGTAAGGATAGGCAGACGGACCACAAGGGAGAAGAAAAAGTGGGCGAGCCCCCTCTTCCCAGTGAGTCAGATCATAGATTGTTAGCCTGACCAGGAGAATCTGAGGGCTTCCTTTTCTTTTTCTAATGCACGTGGATTATTCCCCCCGCTCCCTGGCCTCTGGAGAGTCAGGGAGCTTTCTGAAGCAAGAAGAGGAGAAGGAAGGAAAAGCATGTAACTGGAGTAGCCTAGAGACATGTTGGAGCCTGGGTATGAGGGAGCGAGCTTAGGAAACTTTGATTTACAGAGTGGACACTGCCTTCTGCCCCCCAGCCAGACTATAGTAGATAATAGCTATGCAGTCCATGTGTACCCCAGAGAGAAAAAGGAACCCCAGTCTAGCAGAAAAGGCAGGGGCTTGCCCTCAATAGCTGGTCTGAAGACAACAGCTGGGCCAGAGTTACCGTAAATTCATGCTTCCCAAACGCAAGTCCACGTACCGCTAGGAACTCAGAGCATATGTGGGAGGGGCTTCATTGTGCAGAACACACACAGCCCGTCTTCCTGCAGCAGTGGCTGGTCTAGAGCACCAACACGAAGGGCTCGGGAAAGCAGTTGCTGGGGGCTTATGGTGAATCTTAATGCTCTGGTTATTCATTTTACTTGAACATGTGACAAGGAAAGTTCTGTAACTTAATCAGTCAGTCATTTAAAGCATTGATTCTCTATTAATACAAACACAGGTTCATCTCTCAGGCCTGCCCCTTTCTCCTGTAAAGGTTACGGCACGTCACTTGGGCTCTTTGAACCTCAGCAGAATGAGAACAATCACACCCGCCCTTGCAGAGTGGTTGTGAAGGTTAGAGATAATTTGCTTCGAGGACGAGACACATAGAGCTTTACACAAAGGGTGGCTCTTACCATTATTGGAAGGTTCCAGCCCAGTGAAGTCTAATGTCACAACGCCCTTCAGCCAGAGACCGTCAGGAGCGCCCCTGTGGTTATGCCACATTGTTAATACCAACACTGGGTTGGTGTCCTTCACAGGAAGGGAGACACACACCATGGGGTGTTGGGGGTGTCTCAGTAGGAGGGTGCTAGGAGGAACTGATTGTAGGGTTTGGGCTTCAGTTGGATGATTTGAGGGAGTCTAAGGAAGCAAGGATGTCAGGATGATGAGGATGGCGCAGACTAGGACAGGGTTCAGATCTGCGTTTATAGGGTTGCTGTGAGATATACTAGATTCTGCAGCACCTAACAACAGCAACAGGAAGAAAGGCAGGAGCTCTGGTGGCGTACTGGTAAGGAGCTGCGCCATCAACTCACAGGCAAGTGGTTCAACCCCACCGGCTGCTGTGTGGGAGAAAGACGGATAATCTCCTTCTGTGTGATTTACCGCCTCCAAAAACCTGCTGGAGGATCCGCTATGAGTCATCTCTGACTCCGTGGCAATGACTGGCTGAATGAAGGAAGTAGGGGTTCACTCTAGTTTGGATGTTGCCCAAAGCAGGGGTAACCCTGTGATCATATTATTGTTGAGCACTATCAAGTCAGAACTGACCCATAGTTGACCCCCCCCAAGCGGGTTTTTAGAGGCAGTGAAGAGTAAGAGATTACCCATCTTTCTTCCACAGAGCAGCTGCTGGATTCGAACTGTATGCCTTTGGGATTGCAGTGCAGCTTCTTGTTATTAGGCCACTAGAAGTATGTGATAGGGCATCTCAGTAAATCTTACCTCATTGGGGAATTCCATCTAGCTCTGGTGGCTTGGTGGAAAGGTGTTTCTCTGTCAACCCAAAGGCATGTGGTTTGAATCCACCAACGGCTCCATAGGAGAAAGATGGGCAATCTCCTCCTGTGTGATTTACAGCCTCTGAAAAGCCAGTGGAGGGCCAGCGATGAGTCTGTTCTCAAGCACTAGCATGGTAGAGGACTAGTAGGAGAGTATCTGCAGTTGGTAAAGAAGCAGTTACCTGTTTTAGCCTGGGAGGGGCTGTGTGATGGTTGGTGGGTGCCATAAGGCTCTTGGTTTTGCTTGTACTTGGACAAAATTGCTCTGCCTCATTTTCTCATGGCGGCAGCATAGCCTTGTGTGAGGGTGGTGTTCTGTCTGATTGCTGTTATCTGATAGCAGAGAAATGTGGCTGAGCTCTGAGCAGCAGGCCAGCTTCTGAGAGTTAGAAGAGGCTCTGGTCCTTTCTCACTGGGATACCTCAGCCATATAGATCCTGGATTCTCACTGCCTGCGCTCTATTCCCAGCACCTGTCCTCACTGCCTCTCTGGGCCTGAGCGAGCTCCTGAGCTCACCAGGCCTTGGTTTCCTCCGTAAAATGAGGATACACGCAGTGCCTATCTATCTCTAGGATAGCCGGATGGGTTACCTGAGATTGTGGCCACACTCTGCCTGGCACAGAGTGGCTGCCAAGTGGATTGTTCTTCCTCTCAATCTGACATCATCTGAGCGGCACTGTCCCTGTTGTCACTTGTGGTGGCGGCAGAAAGACAGTGTTCTAGGTCTGGAGACCCAGGAGCCATTTAGTTCAACAAATAGATATTGATTTTCCACAAAGTGCTAGAGAAAAATTAATTTTAAATACCTCTTTCATTATTTGTTCCCTACAACAAAATGTTGTTCCTGCAGTAGCTTCATTTATCGGGTTGCAATTGGCACAGTGGCAACTATCTCTATCTTCCTGTCTATCCATCTAGCTCTCCATCCATCTAGATGCTTCTTCAGTTAATCCTCACAGCTGCCCTATGAAGTGAGTACAGTTGCTACTCTTATAATCAGGTGAATTGTTGCCTGTGAGGACACTGAGGCCAGGCGGGCTGGGAATGGAGGCCACAGCACCTGAAGGAGAGTTGAACCTGGACAGTCCGGCTTGGTGCCCACAAGCTCAGCCTCACTGGCTGCCTCTTGCTGAGAAGATGGCATCCTTGATCTAAGATGGGTTGGATGCAATATGAGTTCAGAGATATACCAGTTGTTTAGGAGGGAAGGTCATCTGCTGCTGGGGAGCAGAGATGCAGGAACACTCAGTGTACAGGACAATTCTGAGAAGGGGTCTAGGAAACGTGAGCATTTAGGGAGAAGCAAGAGGGATAGAGTTTCCAGAGGGTGGACAACATGGCCCAAGGAGCAGCACACTGGCCCGGTGGTTGGGACCCTGAGACTGAGGCTCAGCTCCAAGGGATCTCGAAGTTTCCAGAAGGATGACGGGAGGGCCCTGTGTGCCCCACCTCCAGGCGGCCTACCTACAGAGACTGGGGGTGAACACAGCTGTCTTTGAGAAGCGTCATGTGATTGGGGGTGCAGCTGTCACGGAGGAGATCATCCCAGGTGAGCCCCGAGGGTGGGGAGGGTGGTGACCTCTGGTTGACCCTTGGTGATTGTCGTTCTCCGATTTGGTTTCAGGGTTTAAGTTCTCCCGAGCTTCCTACCTCCTCAGCCTGCTGCGGCCACAGATTTACACAGACCTGGAGCTGAAGGTAGAGCCCTCTGCAGCCCGAGGGTGGGGGTCCCTAACAAGGGCTTTCCTGAAGGTTTGCCTATGCACTTGTTTCCTGGGTGCATTCCCACAGACGGAGATTGGTCCAGCTCACCTGGAATACTAAAAACTAGGAAAAGGACATAAAACTTGGACCTGTTTTGAACTGTTAGATCCCTCCTTTTCTCCATCTTTCCTGGCACGTTGTCTTTTTCCGACGATTGGCACTTCCTGACATGTTCTAAGTATATGATACAAAGTTTCAGCACCTTTGCCTCCAAGGATTACTCTGGTTGCACTTCCTTCAAGAAAGATTTGTTTGTTCCTTGACAATCCCTGGCACCCGAGTAAATTTGGGTAGATGGTGATCCTGGTGCTAAGTTCAAGGGAGGAAACAGCCCCTTGGGTGATGCACAGAGGCAGTCCCATCTGGAGAAGAGGCCCTTTATTTGAAGAGGACATTGACAGCCCAGAGAGACCTACAGCAGGTCCCCTGAGCTCTTTCCAGGAACATTCTGTTTCCGATGCAAGAACAGAGTGTCTGTTTCCCCAGTGTCACATGGTGGGCTGTTGTTGCGTACAGGCAAATATAAACAGAGTCATAGCTTATCCTCCAGCAGGTTTTCAGAGACTAGAAATTGCGTGGGAGGAGGTTGCCCATCTTTCTCCCTCAAAGCAGCTGGTGGATTCTAACTGCCAGCCTTTAGGTTGGCAGTGCCATTCCTTACTCACTAGATCACCAGCAGGAGCTTTAATGTTCTGTCATATTGATCCTTATCCCAACTCTGAAAGAAGGAACCGTTAGTATCCCCGTTTTATAAGGAGGGAACTTCAGGGAAACAGGCTAAAAGTTCACACAGTGCAGAAATCACAAGAATTTCAACTAGGTCTAGTTTATAGATATGACAAACTTTTGTCTCTCATACTTTGGGCATGTTGCTAGGAGAAGCTGTTCCTTGGAATAAGACATCACACTTGGGAAGGTAGACAGTCAGGAAAAGAGAAGGCCTTCTGCATGGTGGACAGACGCAGTGACTGCAGTAATGGACTCAAGGATTCCTACTTCTCGTTCTTGAGGGCCATGAGAAGCTGCCTCAGGCACCTTGACAATGACCTTCTCACCTTGGAATCCAGCCCTGAGCAGTTTCCCCGTGGACACCTGCATCAGTCATGAGCACTCACCCCCGCTCGGACCTGCAGAGAGCCTGGTGTCTGAGGTCACAGACTCCGGCGCGGGACTGACGGATTTGGAATCCCTGCTCCACAATTTACCACTTACTTCACTTTGAGAGTTTCTCAACTTGATCAGATCTCATCTCCCTCACGCCAAATAATTGTCAGCTATTATTCCTAATGGGTCGGGAGTTTCACGACCAACCCAAGCGAGGCAGCTCTCTGGTGATTCAAATCCCTCATTGTGCCCATGGGAGAAAGATGAGCGATCACCTCCTGTGTGATTTACAGCCTCTGAAAACCCAGTGGAGGGTCAGCTATGAGTCAGTTCAGACTTAACAGCAGTGAGAGACAGAGAGATCTCACTACTCATATTTTGCAGCTGAAAAAAATTGAGGCTCCAGACAACACAGCCTATTCTGAGCCTTGTGGTTCAGCGGACCCTGCCACTGATGGGAGGGTCCCAGAACACGTTCCCTTACTGCCACTGTCCCCCTTCCAATCCCATAGCCAGAGGTCACCTCCCCACAACCCTGGAGCTCCACTGGAACCTCCTTCAACTCCTGGCTCTTGGTTTCCACAGCTCCTAATGCAAGTAACTGGATTCAAACTCTCAGTTCCAGCCTTCTAGAGAAGACATTTGTTTTCATTAAGCTTCACGTTATATATTGGAATCCCAGTGGGTTTTTTGTGTTGTTGTTAGGTGCTGTCAAGTTGAATACAACTCATAGCAATCTCATAAACAATAGACCTGAACCTTGTCCTATCCTGCGCCATCCTCGTCCTCTCTGACACATCGGAGCCCGTTGCTGCAGTTGCTGGGTCAGCTCATAGCATTGAGGATCTTCCTCTCTTTGACTGCCGCTCGACTTTTCCAAGCATGATGTCCACTTTCAAGGAACAGCTTCTGCTAACAACATGCCTAAAGTGTGAGAGATGAAGCTTCGCCATCCTTGCCTCCAAGGAGCATTCTGGCTGCGCTTTTTAAAAAACATCCTCATTTGTTCTTTTGGCGTCCGTGGGATAGTCAGTATTCTTCTCTAGCACTACAACTCAAAGGCATCAGCTGTCCTTCTACCATCCTTTGTCATTGCTCAGCTCTCAGATACATAGCAAGTGAGTGAAAAGACCATGGCCTGAATCACCTTAGTCTTCAGACTGACATCATGGTTTTCAGTGTTTTGGAGACTTCTCATGGAATCCCAGCTAAGAGAAGGAAATCCGCACTTAGCCAAGCACACAGTGTCCCTTGCTTCCTTTGGGGAGTAGACCTGTCCTCACTCCAGGTGGCAACCCCTAGTCCTTCTTCCCTCCCTCAACAACCTTCCGGGTCTCACCCACGTAGCAGCTTGGGCTGAGATGCAGTGGAGGCTGGGGGACATGTACGGCCCTGGAGACAGAGCTGGTGGGATCTGGCTCTGGACGGGACTCCAGGCTGACGGAAGGAGTGGCAGAGAGCTCAGTGTGTTAGTTGAAAGAACGAAATGAGAGGTACCCAGTAGACGTTCTTCCAGCTTAGAATCAGAGGCTCCCCACCTTGGGGCTCAGGGGGTGCCTGGAGGCCTCCCAGCCCACACTCTCACTAGAGAGACTGACACATGGAGATCCTGCCATCCGGCCTTTCCTGGGGAAAGTCCAACAATCGTTATGCTTTTAAAAGGATTCCTCATGCTTTTCTAAAACTTCTCACAGATCTCGTTTCTATCCTTGTCATCAGCATAAATCAAATGAATCCGTCGACATTGATTCATTTCCAATTCATGACGACTTCATGTGTATCAGAGCGGAACTGGTCCATGGCTTTTCTTTGTGTTGATCTTTACAGAAGCAGATTGCCAGGCCTTCCTAACGAAGTGCCCTGGGTTGGTTTGAGCCATCAACCTTTAGGTTAGCAGTTAAGTGCAAACTATTTGCACAGCTCAGGGACCTGTCAGCAGCAGGCATGTCAGCATTACTGACTGCACTGTATCTGGGTGCTGGGGACACAGCAGCAAGCAACACAGAGCTCCCGACCTCATAGAGCTTACAATCTACACGGGGGAACAACAAATACTAAATAAGTAATAATCTAATGGGTGGTCAGTGCTTTGGAGGAAAAGAGAATAGGGTGAAGAGAGCAAAGAATGCTTTAGAGGGGCTCAGGCAGTTACGAGAGATCTCAGTGACATGGTGACATTATGCAAGACCCCAGGGAAGTGAGGGGGCAGGCCGCTCCCCAGCCAGCAAGAGCGTGAAGTCTTATTTGAGAGTTAGCAGGCCCCTGTTTATTCATCTGTGTCTTCTCTGAAAAATAAAATTGGCTGTGCTTTCAGAAAGTCCTATGCATTAGTAAAAATTTGTAAACCAAATCATATTTCAAATGCATCAAGGGAACTTCCATTTAAAGTGACCCTGAGGTAAATGTGTCTGCAAAGTAAATAATTTTTCTTTCCAATGTGAATAATTTATCTGCCATGTAAGTATGGATTTTCACATAACTCGCTTTATTGTGTCTTTCTAAGTGTTAATTATTTATTTCCGCAGCGAGGCCAGTGCGTCACAGACTCAGTTTAGGGCTGTGGTTTGAAACCCAGCTTCCCTACCTGATGAGACCGTGGGGGTTTAAAATCCGAGCTTCAGCTTTTGCATTTGCACAGTGAGAATAATACTCATCTCCTAGAGTTATTGTGAAGCTTAACATCAGGCAATAGTTGTAAACCTCTAGTCCAGGGCCTGACATGAGGTAAGGATTGCATTGCATCGTGTTGTATCAGATACAAGGAAGGTGAAACTTGGTCTCACACACTTTGGGCACCTTGTCAGGAGGTGCTAGTGTCTGGAAAAATACATCATGGGGAGCGTGGAGGGCTGGTGAGAGAGAAGAAGACCCTCAACAGGATCGATGGACACAGTGGACAATAGTGGGCCTGAGTACGGTAGAGACCCTGAGGATGGCACAAGATATGGCAAGGTTTCCGTGTGTTGTTGGTACGGTTGCTATGGTGACCTAGTGGTGAGAAATGTGCTGCCAATCAAAAGGCAGATGGTTTGAATCTGTCAGTTGCTCTGAGAGAAAGCTGGGCAGTCTTTCTCCACGTAATGTATGGCCTCTGAAGACCTGCTGGAGGGTCAGCTGTGAGCCAGTTTCAGTCACAGCAATGACTTTGATTTTGATGAGTCGTAGTTAACAAGTTAACAACACTTAGCCTAACATAATATCATAAGCTGCCTTGGCAAGAAGGGTTTTTAATAAATGTTTAATTTTTTTTTAAAAAAAGCAACCAGAACCACACACCTTGAGAATTTGTACAGTTTTCTAAATTCTCTCTCCCACAAGCAGAGAGAGAGAGAGAGAGAGAGAGAGAGAGAGGAAGTGTTGAGGGCAGTGACCAGAACAACAACAAAACAAACAAAAAAGCCACCGTCATCAAGTTGACTCCATCTTAGAGTGACTCTGTCAGGTTCCCAAGACTGCCAATCTTTACACATGAAAATGGCCCATCTTTCTCCCGAAGAGCAATTGGTAGATTCAAACCACCACCTCTTTGCTTAAGCTCCTTGTGACACCTCCTTAAAATGTTGCCTGTGTTGCTTGTGTTCTTCAGAAACATGGGCTGAGGCTGCATCTTCGAAACCCATACTCCTTCACCCCCATGCTGGAAGACCACACAGCTGGCAAGGGGCCCAGGTCCCTTCTACTGGGCACAGACATGGCAGAAAACCAGAAGCAGATTGCCCAGTTCTCACAGAAGGACGCCCAGGTAAGGGTAGCAGCTAGTAACTGATCCCCATTCCTTTCACCCCTAGAGGCTGGAGATGGCTCTTGAATGGAAGTTGCCATGGAACGCTCTGTCCCCAGACCACACAGTCCTGGACAGGCCACACCAACTTCCCCACGAGAGTCCAGCCTCAGCCAGCCTTTGATCTTCAGCACAGCAGAGAGAAGGGCTGGAGGGGGTGGTGAGGACCGGTGACATCAGAGCCTTGTGTCTTCAGCAACAGGCCTCTGTTAAGTAGTCTCCACTGGCTGGATTTCAGAAGGGTATACAAACTGACATCTATTTACACTCTGTCTAATATCCCTCAGGCTTTCAGAAAGAATTTCCAAGTGGTTATTAATATTAAAGTGAGCAAAAACCAGGAAGGAGGATGAAGGCGAGATCATAGACAATTAAGAATAGACTGAATTGGATCAGAAACACAGGACCAGAGGTTGGAGTAAACAGTCACTCCACCAGCCATCAGTCCCCTAGCAAATCAGTCCAATAAAGGGCCAGAATGGCATGCAGGTCTGCCAAGAGAAAGTCAATACCTCGGGTGGAAGATGCAGTTAAAGGAATTTATTCCACTGCTTGGTCTCAAGTCAGTGAATAATGGAGACCGACCTGCTGCAATCATCTTACAAGGATTGAAAGGTTCTTTGAATGGCTGTTTCTTACACCAAGCTTGAATACAAGCTGAAGGCACGCAATTAAGGGTCTGGTTTAGTGGAGACATTTTTATAAGAAGCTAGGTTTATACATTATCACCCACTTGTTAGTTTGATGTCATACTGTAGTGGCTTGCATGTGGCTGTGGTGCTGAATGCTAAGTCTCTGGCATTTCAAATACAATCATGGTGAGCTGAATACACCAGAGCTTCCAAATTAAGGCAGATGAGCAAGAAAGGGCTGGTGATCCCCTTCCTAAAATTGATCAGTTATGTTTCTATGGATTATAAGAGAATGTTGTGTGGTATTCTGAAGCTGAGTCCTCCGGGCTGGGAGTCATTCAGAAAAGACAGTGGCCAGAGCAGTGGGCTTGAGTACACGGACCATTGTGAAGACAGAGCAGAATCAGGCTGTGCTTCGTTCTATGACCTTGGGTCACTGCGTATTAGCACCAGGTCAACAGCACTTGCCGTAGTTTCATGGAAATGATGCAACCTCTCCACTCACAAGCTGGCTTCCTATTCATGCTATTTGGGTTCCTTATTTAGGTAGGCCCCTCATATGTGAAAAATAGAATATGTTGGTACAAACACTCAGCCCTGCCCCTGCTGCCCTCCAAGAGAAGGGGGTTGGGGGGGTGAGTAACCAGGTTCAGGGATGATGGGTGTAGAAAACAGATTCTGTGGAAGAGCGTGTTGGGGGAGGAGACGTAGACTTCTGCGGTTGCTGCTGCTGACAGGGAGGCACGTGAGGTTTGCAGACGCGTAGACGTGAAGCACACTGGAAGACGTGGGAAGAGGTTACTTGGTGTAGTTCTCAGGGAGTTGTAATTGTCACTCCAAAGACAGCACCACTCAGGTGATTCAAACCCACTAGTGGCTCCAGGGGAGAAAGATGGGCAATCTTCTCCTGTGCAAAAACTCGATGACACCTAACAACAATAGTAACTGTCATTTGTAGCCTCAGAAGCCCTATGGACAATTCTACTGTCATACCAAACCCTCTGGACAAGTCCTTTAAGGTCACTGTGAGTCCGTATTGACTCGATCACGGTGGGCTTCCTTCCAAGGCACTTCTGAGTAGATATAACCCTGCAGTTAGGAGTCAAGGCTCGTAACCATTTGCACCATCCAGGTTTCCTCTGAAAACCTGCTGTAGGATCAACTCCGGGACTATTCCAAATCAATGGCAATCAGCTTTTCATTTTAAATACAGAAAAAAAGCACATAGAGAAGAAACTTTGGAATATTTTATGGCTTATCATAGAGACTTCACTCCAAGATATGTACCAGGGTCTGACAACACGTCCCCATCCTCATCCCGATGACTCTACCTCATCTCAGACAGCTCTGACTTCCCCTGAAGACCTCTGTGCTGATCCACTGAGGTCCACGGTTGGGGATGGCAGACCATACAGAGACGGCGTGGAGACCAAGCATGAGGCAGTGCCCTGTGAGGTCTGGGAAATGGAGCCTTGACTCAGGTCTCTGTTCCAGGCCTTTCCCCGATATGAGGAGTTCATGAATCGCTTGGCGTCAGCTATTGACCCTCTGCTGGACGCAGCCCCCGTGGACATGGCCACTTTCCAGCGTGGTTCCCTGCTACAAAGGTTCCAGGCACTCTCCACCCTCAAGCCCCTGCTGCGGGCAGGTGAGTCCAGAGCGCAGATGTCAGGGTATGATGAGTGGCCTTATATAGTAGCCTGAATGAACCCATTTTCTCAATGGCAACCCAAGGTTGACCCTCCCAGGTGGCCAGTCAATTCTGGTCTGTTAGCTTGGGGTAGTTTTGGAGAACTTCAGTAAAAAAGATCTTGGCCTGGGATCCCTAAAATAAAGGCTGAAATAAAGGCTTCCATGTAAGTACATCATTTACTGAGAAAGATAACCCCAGGGCACAGTAAATGAGGAAAGGGAGGAGAGGACTGAAAAGAGGGCAATTCAGTTCCAGGGTCTGTTACTGCCAGTGTGGGTGTGAGGGGCCGAGTTTGTGAATGCAGTTCAGGACCATTTCCAGGAGATGAAAAGGGGGAACATTCACCCATGAGTTTCTGAGCCCTGTTAGTCAAGGGCTTCCTCATAGAACATTAATTCTCACACTCATGTGCTGCATGTCTGTGGGTGGCAAGTGGCTTTTTGGGGGTGTCCTGTCAGGACAACCATGAAAAAGAACAACTGGCAGCCTTGAAGAAGATGCTGTGAGACGACGCCTGCTTGAAGCTGGCCAAAGCCTGTACGTGGTCCTAGTCACCACAGCCGGCGCTGGAATATAAGATAGGGGCCTAGGGGATTTGAAGAGATGACAACACACAACCACAATCAAACTCACTACTATCCCATCAATTCGAACTCACAACAGCTCTATAGGACAGAGTAGAACTGCCTCATCAGGTTTCCAGTGTAGCCCCATCTTTCTCACACAGAGGGTCTGGTGAGTTTGAACAGCTGACCTTTTGGTTAGCAGCTGAATGACAGCCCCATTGGAGTTCCTGTCCCATATATATCACTGAAAACCCCAAACCCACTGTCACTGAGAGGATTCTGACTCATAGGGACCCTCCGTGCAGTTTCTGAGCTGTAAACCCTTTCAGGAGATTGCCTATCCTTTCCCCTACAGAGCAGCTGGTGGATTTGAACCACCGATCTTCTGCCTAACAGTCCAACATGCAATGCAATGTACCCCCAGGGCTCTTCTCTCATACAAAATAAAAAACGAAATCCACTACCAGCAGTTTGATTCGATTCATAGTGGCACCCTCCCACCACCCACCACCCCCCTGCTGGGTTTCTGAGGCTGGATTTCTTTATGAGAATAGACTGCTCATCTTTCTCCCTAAGAGAAACTTGTGAGTTTGAACTGTCAACCTTTCTGTTAGCAGCACAATATGTTACATACTACACCACCGGAACTCCTTGTCTCAAACATTAACTCTACTGCATCATAGATTCAGAACTGACTCCTAGCTGACCCTCCAGGGAGTTTCCAAGGCTGTAAATCACACAAGAAGAGATTGCTCATTTTTCTCATAAGGAGAAGCTGGTAGATTTAAACTGCCAAGGAGGGTCAGCCTTTGTGTTAGCAGCACCACTTCCTAGACAAGGCCCTCTGAGTTCCTTGTCTCATACTTGTTGTCCTTGGGTAGCATCGAGTCACAACTAACTCCTAGTTGATTCTCCAGTGAGTTTTCAGAGGCAGTAAATCACACGAGTGGAGACTGCCCATCGGGACTAAGCAAGAGAGTTCTCTGATCGAATAGTAATGTCTGCTATGGGTTGGGAGAGGGAAGTTTCAGCAAACATGGTATTATTCCCATGATTCCTCCACAGGATACAGACCAATTTCATCTCCATGTCCTAGGAAAAATACAGAATTAGCTGTATGTGGTTACAAAATTGCTGCATAACAATGACAAAATTCCTGTGGCTTTCAGAAAGAAACATCTCTTTTTCACATGTCTGTGTGGCTCTGTCGAGCCCAGCTGGACTCCACTGGCATGATCGGGTCTCATGTACATGCTCGTGATGGGGCAGATTGGCTGGGGCCGCTCTGTTCCACATGCCTCACATCCTTGTCTTGAAAGCAGCAGGCTAGTCAGGCTAGGAAGGGCCTTCTTACATCAATGACAGAAGCACAGAGGACCAGACTCATACACAGGCCCATTTCACACCTCTGCTGTGTCACATCTGCAAACATACCATTGGCTGAGCCATTAAAGACTCATGGAGCTGCCTGGGGCGGAACAGGTCAACCCATCCATGGTGGGACACTGAAGAATCCAGTGGCAAAGTTAGGGACCGTCAGGTGGACTATAACTCAGAGCAACCCTTTGAGCAATGGGACTGAACCTTCTCCTAGGCTGTGCTATCTTCATCGTCTCTGGTATAATTGAGCCCGGTGGAGAATCAAAGCTCATAAAATCTACCACAACTGCCCAAAACAGCCATTGCCTCTCAGTCAACAGGGGGGGAAAAAGCCAAGGAACTTTATGTAATAACTTCATGTAATAAACATTTACCGAGTAGCTGCTATGTACCAGACACTAAGCTAGGCACTGGGACCATGGCTAAAGATCAGGGTGCTGGCCCTTAAGTCTTACAGCTCAGGGACCCTGAGATGATGTTGAATCAGACGAATGGGGTAGCAAAGCACTTTAAGCCTTACAGAATCCATTGAAGGGAATATGGTACAAGTTCCATTTTTTCCCCCCAAATCTAAAGCAGTTGCTGCCAAGTTGATTCTAGTTCATGGTGAACCCATGTGTGTCAGAGCAGAACTGTGCTGCATGGGGCTTCTAAGGGCGGATTTTTCAGGCATGACTTGGTAGACCTGGTATAGAGATCAAAGCATTCAGCTGATCACCAAATCGTGGGCAGTTCGAACTCACCAGCTGCTCCAAGGGAGGAACATGAGACAGTTTAGCTTCCGCTTATGACCTTGGAAACCCAGTGGACAACTCCACTCTGTCCTCAAAGATGACTGTGTCAGAACTGAGTTAATGGCAATGAGTTTTCTTCCAGTGCACCTCTGAGTGGATACAATCCTTCAGTTAATAGCCAAGGATCTTAACCCTCAGCACCAGTCAGTGGCTCCCCCAAATGATGACAATAGCTCAAATGTAGTTAAGAGACTATTAACTTGCAAACACTTCACAGCTCTCATTTAATTCTCACACACTAGTTACTTCTCATTCTAACAAACAAAGAAGCAAGTTTAGAGATTTTGAAAACCAGCTTTTCAGAACAATTCTAAATGGTTCCATCTTGGTGGATGGAAACAGGAGCGGCATACTCGTTGCATAGCAACTAAACCTCTTATGCCTCAAAGGTTGACCCCAAGAGTAAATAGACAGCAGTGCCCTGCACAAAGATGGCGGCTGACCATTACATTCAAGGCAACACTGTAGGCCGCCATCTTTGTGCAGGGCACTGTTTGCCTGTTTCCTTTTGGAGTCAAAGTCTGAGGCAATGGAGGTTTCATTGTTATGTTGTATGGATACTGTCACTGTTTCCATCAGCCAGGACTGAATCATTTTGAACTAGTTTATTAAAAACATGCCCAAGGTTTTCTTTCAGCTTGTAAGACTTGCCTTCAAAATTATAAGCTCCTCCCACCACAAATTCTCCCAATTTCCCCACATTCTCTCTTCCCAGGAGGCCAGATTAGAGTGTTTCCTTAGTCTCAGTTTGTGTCTTCTGGGTCTTCTCTTTCAGGCCTCACCCTGGGAGCCCAGCTTCCCCAGTATTACCAGGTCCTTACAGCTCCTATCATGAAGGTAAGTGAGCCCCCCAGCTTCAGAACAACAGTGTGAAAGGAGGGGGTCATCCCACTCAGGCTCGGAGTTCTTCTCCCTATTGTTTTGCTGTCCCAGGTGCTAGACCAATGGTTTGAGTCTGAGCCTCTGAAGGCCACTCTGGCAACAGATGCTGTGATTGGAGCCATGACCAGCCCCCACACACCAGGGAGTGGGTGAGTGAGGCAGGGAGGTGGGCAGCGGGAGGAAAGGGGTATCAAGGTACAATTTAAGGGACCAGCGGGCACATTGTCCCCACAACAGCAGTAGCAACACTAGCAAAAACAACGAGAACAACTGTCCTATCTTGAGCTCACATCTTGAGTCATTGATGTAACCTTCCGCTGAGGTGATGTGGTTCAGAGAAGGCGAGCGCCGGCCAGGTCACACAGCTAGCAAGTAAGTGGCAGAGCTGACTTCCAACCCAGGTTCTTACACCTCCTTAGCCTGCAGCCTGTTGCTGTTGTTAAGTGCCAATGAGTCCATTCCCTTGTAATAGATTAGAACTGCCCTGCAGGGTCTCTTAGGCTGGGAGCAGCCTGCCAAGTCTTAATCCTATGGAGCAGCTGGGTTAGTTCAAAACACAATCTTTTTAGCAAGCAAGCGCTTAACCACTGCATCAGCCGTCCGCGCCATCAACCACAGAGCGCTGCTTCACTAAGACAGGCCTCTCCTTAGCTTCCACTATAATATCTCAGCACTCTTGTCCTTCCTCCTTTTCTTCTTTACTCTCACCCTCTCACTTGGATCTCTTTCCCTGTTGACCCTCCCTCTCCTACCATTGCTGTCCCAGGAAAAGCGCACACTCTGACACCTTTGTATGGGGTCTGAGAGCCGCTGTCTTTCTCTATGGGTGAGGGTGCACTGACAGTCAAGACCGAGAGGGGGCAGTGAGACACAGGCAAGTCAACAGTTGTGACCTGACTCAATGAGCCCTTTGTGGAAAGGAGAGTGTGTGTGTGTGTGTGTGTGTGTGTGTGTGTGTGTGTGTGTGTGTTTACTTGTGTACATGAGTGTCTGTGGTGTATGCTGGAATGGAGGATGCGGCCAAGTTTAGGACACAGAAGATGCAGCTCAGAGCTCTCAATGTGGCTTTTCTCAGAGATTTCCCAACCCCAGTATACTTAAAGCCAGTTCCCAAATTCTCCAGAACCTCAGCGAGAGGAGAAACAACAATCACCAGTCTTGGCTGAGTTTTCTGATCAACCAGCTGAGACCTTCCTGGCCTGTACTTTTTGGGTCTCCAGGAGACTTTAAATTTGGGAGACAAACTGCCCAGTTTGTGAAATAGACCTTCAAGTCTTTCATTTCTCCAGTAACTCTTTTAATCATGGTCTGCTCACCTGTGCTAGGTGCTAGGGATCCGGCAGTGGACAGAGCTAAAATCCTCAGAGGAGAGATTGGCAACGACATTAAGTGCTACAGTGATATGATGAGAGATGTTCAGGAGGTAAAACAGGGACCCCTAACTGGGTCTCGGTGGCACTAGGGGGTCTCTGTAAGAAAGCTGAGTTACAAAACACAAGGAGGAATTCATTCAAGAGGGGTTTCCAGGCAGATGGAAGAGCGTGTGTAGACCCTCGTAGGTGAGAGGCTGATCCATTCGCAGGGACCATCAGAGTGTGGGCTGCAAGGGAAAGGATGACGACTGATGTGGCTGAAAGCAGACTGGAGCCTCGAGAGCAATGATAAGACAGGGAAGGTCTTTACAAGGGAAGTGGTGGGCGCATCGCTGGGTTTCTGAAAGAGCTCCAGCTTCTATGCAAAGAATGGTCTGTGGGGCAAAAGAGAAGTTCCAAACAGAAAACCAGTGCCTCAGCTTTGTAAGGAAAAGAAAAGGCAGCCAAGAGGGGCTGCAGTTGGTGGTATGGTGGATAGAGGGTTGTACTGCCAACACAAAGACAGGGAGTTTGAAATCTATCAGCTGTTCTGAAAAAAGTCGGCAACCTCCTCCTGTGCTATTTACAGCCTCTGAAGCCTGTTGGAGGGTCAACTAAGAGTTGGTTCTGACTCAATGATGAGTTTTGGTTTTGGAGTTTGTTTTTCAGGAGCACTTAATTGGACGTAGATGGTGAGGAAATAGTAGGAAGCATGGTTAATTCCTGGGTTTCTGTTGAAATCTGAAGGTGCCATGCTCAGAGATGGATAAGACTCAGGTAATTTTGAGACTAAGGAAAAATGATGCATTTAAGGTGTCTGTCTAAAAAGATCCAAACTGAGCTATGCAGGGTAACTGGATATAGACACTGGAGCTCAGGAGAGAGCTAGAGTCACAAGTCTGGGCATCATAGGTACACAGTTGCTTATAATCCATGCCCATAGATACATTTGCCTGGAGCGAGAACACAGAATGAGAAGGTCAAGGGCTTTTACAAGAGCCTGGAGCTCATCGGGAGGTCAGGTAGTGGAGAGACTGAAGGTAAAGATGGAAAGGGGGGTGTGCACCATTCCCACCTGACAGCCCTCATTCTGATGGTCTCATTCCAGGTACGTGTTGTTACATCACGTGATGGGGGGCCTAGAAGGGACGCCAGGGGCCTGGGGCTATGTCCAGGGGGGCATGGGTGCCCTCTCTGAAGCCATTGCAAGCTCAGCCACAGCGCATGGAGCAAATATCTTCACTGAAAAGGTGAGCAGTCCTCAAAGCTCTACCTCGGTGATTGGCAAGGGTCCCAGGATAGAACAAAGGCTTGTATTTGGAAAGCTTCCTCCTTTGCTAATAAATAACATGGCATTTGGAATCAGAAGCTTGCCCAAAGTTATGCTGTCTGTTGGGACTAAGCAGGGGCTCTCTGGGTCCCGATCTCTCTGATCACCTCCCTTCCAGTTCTCTGAACCTCATGTAGGCTGACCCTTTGCATTGGACGGGGTGGGTTCAAGGTGTCCTAGGAGCATGGATCCAAGGAAGTGTGAAGATATGGGGCAATGTTTGCAATCACATCTGAAAACATCACAATATGAGTCTCTGGGGACAAAACACCACTTATTCTAAAAGGTCTTAGCAGGGCTATATTTGGGGTGGGGGTGGCCTGAGAGCAGCACAGAGAGGAGAGGCCCCCAGCATCCAACCAGGATTTCCCCCAGAGGATGGTGGTCTAAGACCTCTTTCTGGTGGGCTTAGGCGGTGGCCAAGGTGCAGGTGAGCAGCAGAGGCCGTGTCCAAGGGGTCGTGCTGCAGGATGGCACGGAGGTGAGGAGCAGAGTGGTGCTGTCCAATGCGTCCCCTCAGATCACCTTCCTGAAGCTGACACCTCAGGTGAGGCCTGGGGGTGGGAAGAGAGGTGGCTGCCAAGATGGGGGCTGGGAAAGGGTGCTGTGTGCCAAGAGAGCCAGGTCTACACTGAGTGGACAAAGACTAGGCAACTGGCAGGGCCAAGCCCTCCTCACCTGTGCTAGTGAGCCTTTCTCTCTCTCACCTCTTAGGCAGGTAGCAAGCAGGGAAGGCAGCTCACATAAAAAGAGAAAGATCTAGAAGAATGAGGTGGCCTCAGGTTCGTGGCAGGCAATTGACAGAGTCAGAGGTAGGAATCCATGGTTGTCTCTACAACATTTTTTCTCTCCTGATTGCTCCCCTTGACCAGTTCTAATCCTGCTTCTTACGTGGTTTATCACCTTGTTAAGACTGCATAGAAGATGACCACACAACTCCGGGGCATACTGAAGGACATTGACTTAGCACGCAGATTGGGAGGGCTCAGCTCATCTAGGCTGAGTCTGGCTGATCTGGGCTCCCTTCTGCCTCTAAATCCAGCTCTGCTTCCTAGTCAGTTCTGCTGATCTTGGCTGGGCCCATTCCTGTGCTTGGTGCGCTGACCATTGGTGGCTCCCGGAAGCCCAGGCACGTTCTCAGAGTCTGGCGGGGGGCAAGGCAAGCACGCTCAGTCCTGTACATACTTTCCAGGCCTCTGGGCATCACATTTGCTGACAGTGACCAACACAGGTCTCATGGTTGAGCCAGCAAAGAGCGAGAGGATGCCACAAAGCTACACAATAAAGAGGTGTGGATACAAGGAGGAGTGAGATTTGGGGAAATGTTTACAATCATCTATACCTTCCTGGTCCCAAAATATGACAATATGCAACTTTGAGGACAAAACCACCACTTTTTTCTAAGTGATTCTACCAACAAAACGCAGCATACACTAGTGCAAAGCATCTCCTTAAGGCAATTCTGACTTCTAAGACTTAATCAAGATTTCCAAGTGCTTAGTGGTAAGAAGAGAAAAGAACAAGTCAAAAGCCAAACCAGTTGCCGTGGAGTTGATTTCCACTACTGGCTTCTTTGGAGAAAAAAGAAGTGGCTTTCAGGAGAAAGAAGGGTCTTCAACTCAGCATCCTGCCTGAGGGCATACACTCACCTGACTCTCTCATTCCATGCGCGTCACAGTAGAAATCCGCTCCATGGAGTTTTCAATGGCTGCTTACCCAAAAGTTGATCATCAGACTTTTCTTCCAATGTGCCTTAGGGTAGACTCAAACTTTCAAACTTTCTGTTGGCAGTCATTTGTTTTAACCATTTACACTAACTGTGGACAAGAAGAGAAAGGAGGCTTGTGCACCCCAGGCCGTCATCCAAAGCAGTAGGATGTGGGGGGTATCTTACAGTGAGATCAGAGAACAGAGAGGAGAGTAAGGAGTAGATGGTGTTGAGTGGGCAGATCTAGGAAGGCTCCACAGAGGAGGTGGTTTTGACGGATGAAGAGGAGTTCTGCAGTCAGAGACTGATGGGCCAGGCTGAGCAAAGGCAAGCACAGCCTCCTCCCTGTCCTTGGGCACTTACAGTGGCTTCCCCTTCCAGGAGTGGCTTCCTGAGGAGTTCGTGGGGAAGATCTCTCAGCTGGACACCCAGTCACCTGTTACCAAGATCAACGGTAAGAGATGCACCTGGACTGCAGAGCACTCTCCTTTATCTCTGATCATTATGACTGGCCCATGTCAGCTCCTTCCTCTTCCTCTATCCAGTCCCTGTCCCCTGTGGCAAACACTTATTCCTGCTCTTCCTTCCCAGTTCACCACTCAGGTGAGCTGGGGAGTGCATACAAAGGAAAGACACTCAGGGGCTGAGGGTACATGTTCTTGACCTTGGCCTTGGCCTTCCTCTCTGACTCCTCAGTGGCTGTAGACAAGCTTCCCAACTTCCTGTCTGCACCCAACACTTCCGAAGGCCAACCATTGCCCCACCACCAGTGCTCCATCCACCTCAACTGTGAAGACTCCCACCTCCTCCATCAGGCCTTTGAAGATGCCATGGATGGCCTCCCCTCCCACAGGTGAGGGGACTGGTGGGCTTTTCCCCAGCTCACCTGCCCTGGTCCCCAGGGATGCATTTACAGCCAGGTGTGTAGGTAGGGGCATGGTTGCTTTGCCACGGCAGAGATGGGTCTTTTCTGCCCAATGCTGCATATGGCATCTACCTGGACCACACCTCAATTCCAAGGGCAAGAAATGCATCTCAAGCAATGGGTCTGTGGCCCAGGGTAGGTGGGAGGAGAGGGAAGATCAGCTTAGGAATGTGTCACAGGTTCTAGGACGGGATGAAGCACTGCAGGGTCCTGCTGGCATGTGGGAAGGAACAACGATGTGCTTCCTTCTGAGCCCCCATCATGCAGAGCTTCCTACTGCAGCTTCCTTGGACAGGCAGGAATGCTGCACTAGCTTATTTCTTTCCTATTGCTGATTGTCCTACAGACACAGGATGAAAACTTCTTCTGTGTCAGAACTAAGTGGAGGTTGGAGGATACAGAGACTAGACAGGGCATGAGGCACACAGAAAACTTATGAGACAGGCATACGAGTGTGTACAGCTAAGAAGCTCGGTGCCCTGCGAGAAGAGCAGAGGGCAGAGGCATAAATCCACTTTTAAATATTCATGGGCTTCCTACTGTATCCCGGACACAGTTCAGGGGCCTGGCCAGAGAGCAACAAGAAAATCAACAAGCCTCTGCCCTTCAGCTGATGCGAGAGAAGATGACTGGTAAATATGTGGCCAGGAAAGGCCTATCCGATGCTGCAACTTTGAGTAAATACATGGAGGGAATCGAAAGGATTGATGTAAATCCAGGGAAGAAGAGCAGACAGAGGGAAGGTCAGGTGCAAAGGCCCTGGGGCGGGTGTGTGTTTGCAGTGTTGAAAGGTAGCAACATATCTCAAGTGGTCAGAGAATTTGGGAGGGCAGAGAGGGAGAGGGTGCATCCCAGGAACCCTGAGGTGATGCAGGTAACAACCACCTGGGCCTCACAGGGAGATTCTCACAGGGAGAATCTGACCGGACTCCGTGTCTTCTCAAGGATTTCCCTGTGTTGCTCTGTCTCTGAGTGGTTCCCTCAGACCAGCTGCTGCTCTCAGACCTGACCCTCTCTTTTCCCCACCTGTTGCAGGCCTATGATTGAACTCTGCATCCCCTCCTCGCTGGACTCCACCCTGGCTCCGCCTGGCTGCCATGTCATCTCGCTCTTCACTCAGTACACTCCCTATGCGCTGGCTGGAGGCAAGGCCTGGGACGAGCAGGAGAGAGAAGCGTATGCAGACAAAGGTAGACAGAGTTCTGTTTCTAGAGCCATCTCCTCCCCAGACCACCCAACCCACGTGCCCCAAGGGGAGCGAAGTAAGTACCTGAGAGACTGTCAGATTCACAGTGTTGGCAAACACATTGATGTCTGCTGACATCCCGAAGTCTAGAGGGAAAGACTAATAAAGAAAACAATAACTGTAGCCCAGTGTACCAAGCAAACCTAGCAAGAAAGCCGCGAGCCAGAGAGACTGGAAGGCTTTCCAAAGAAAGGGACATTTGAACTGGGTTTTCAAGGATAAATAGGGGTTGTCATGATAAGAAAGGACATTCATAGCAGAGAGAAATTCTTGAGCAAAGCAGTGAGTAAAAAGAGCTTTGGATAGTCAAGGGAGACAAGTAACTTCATGCTCAAAGTTAGGATAAGAGGCCTTAGTTACAATTATCTATGGACAGGTTTGTTTCCTTTTTTCATTTTATTGAGGTATACTTTGTTATTGTTGTTGTTGTTATGTGCCCTCGAGTCACCTGCAACTCATAACGACCCTAAACCCTCCTCTATCCTGTGCCAATCTCACTGACTCCAACACACCTATTCTGATTACCCATCACTGAATCAATCTACCTCATAGACAGTCTTCTTTTCCTATGCTGTCCCTCCACCCTTCGAAGCATGATGTCCCTCTCCAAGGATTGGTCCCTCCTTACAACATGTCCAAAGTATGTCAGATTAAGCTTCAGAATCCTAGCCTCCAAAGTGCAGCCTGGTTTAACCCTCTCTAGGATGAACCCGTTTGTTTTCTTGGCAGTCCATGGTATATTCAATGCTCTTCTCCAACACCACAGCTCAAAGGCATCAATTCTCCTTCTATCCTCCCTAGCCATTGTCCACTCTCTGATGCATAACAAGTGATTGCAAAGACCATGGCCTGTATCAGGCGCACCTTAGTCTCCAGAGTGACTCCATTGCTCTTCAGTACTTTGGAGCTGTCCCTAAGAGCAGACTTTCTGATCACAATATATCTTTTAATTTCCTGTGTGCTGCTGCCAAGAGTGTTGATTGTGGAACTGAGGTATAAGTTACATGTAATAAAATGAATCCACCAAATTCTTTTTTAGTAAACATGTCCCATTGTTCAACAATATGATTGTGTCCTGTCTGCTGGGCTTTGGGACCTCTTGTCCTGGTCCTGATGTTATCTCACCCCTGCCATCTGGCCCTAGTGTTTGACTGGATCGAAGCCTATGCCCCTGGCTTCAAGGGCTCTGTGGTGGGCAGAGACATCCTCACCCCACCCGACCTGGAGAGGATCTTTGGGCTTCCTGGAGGGGTGAGTATGCCTTGTGTTCCTCTTCACGTGTTTCTCATGTACATGTGTTCCTTGGCCAGGCCCTCTCAGCTTTACCATGTCCACTGTCCAGTCTTCACTGGGACAGGAGGACAAAGGGCATCAGAGATGATGGCTGAGAAGGGATAGAAATGCTGGCAGGGGGTGGGATGCAGACATAGGGAAGAAGAATATGGAGAGAGCACATGAACCCTGTCAGCCTCTCTTGTCCAACCTTCCTCGGAGGGGAGTTTCATGCACTTCCTGGGACAGTCGGCAGGGAGACCAGGTAGGTACTGGGTATTGTCCCATGTGCCTTATGTCCAGGATGTTCAGCATGGTGAGTCCAAACTGAGCCGAGCTCTAGGAAAGAATCCACACTGGGCTCCTGGGCCTTGTTGCTGTTAGGTGCTGTTGAATGCCGCACATAGTGCCCCTATGAACCGCAGGCCTGAGCTCCGTCTGTCCTGTGTCATCCTCATCATATATGAGCCCATCGCCGCAGTCACTGTGTCAACCCATCTCATAGAGGATCTTCCTCTCCGTCACTGACTCAGCACCCAGGAAAGTGCAGATGATCTCATGAATACTTTTTGCTTGAATTAGTTGCCTAATGTTGGTAATACCAAAAGCAGATGACTTTAACAAACAGAAATTAATTTTCTCACACTTTAGGAGGCTAGAAGTCCAAACTCAAACTGGGAGTGTGGTCCATGTTGTATTAGGCAGCTCCGATCCAGACAGAGAGGAAAGGAGTCCAGGCAGAAGGGTCAGGGAAAAGAATTTCCTGGCATGAGAGGCCAGGAGCAGGAGGGCTGAGAAGAGGAGGAAATTACGTGCAAGTAGGGGTCAATAGCAAAGCTGATGCCAGGCACAGAGACAGGAGGTGGGATAGGAGTCAGCCTGAGGCAGGGGATGAGGTCATTCAGAGTACTGACAGGACAGCCAGAAGGTGGTCTCTGTGATAATGTCCAGCAGATACTGGTCTCTCTCTCCACACCTGCCTTACCTGGGAGCCTCAGGCGCCTCTGTCCTCGGCCTCTGGCTTCTCAGCCTCAGGGAGCCCTGTGCTACCATTTACTGTGACCTTGCTGGCACTTTGACCCCTGAGTCCAGTCTCAGATGGGTGTCTTGGCCAAACAAACATGTGCCAGCAGCCAAAATCAGCCAAAATCTTTCCATTTTTCAAAGACAGTGAGAGGAATGAATAACTCTTCTTGTTTCCTCAACATTTTGTTTCTCGCATTCTGAAAATGTTCTTGCCCCTGTCTTTCTTTCTACCTAAAAAATATCTCTGGAAAACCTTTCCTAATCCTAGGACATGTGCCTATTCTCTCTCTGCCCTTCCCTTTTCTGCACCTTAAAGTCTGAGCCCTTCCTGAGAGAACAGGGGAGGGAAGCAATGCCGAGGGAATGTCCTCTTTAGTTGGCCCAGGATCAGAGGCTGGAAAGCTAGATTACGACTGCGGCTCTGCCTCCCACAGAACATATTCCACTGCGCCATGTCCCTGGACCAGCTCTACTTCGCCCGTCCCTTGCCTCTGCACTCCAGTTACCGCTGTCCCCTCCCGGGCCTGTATCTCTGTGGAAGTGGGGCCCATCCCGGTGAGTGATCTGCAGACAGGGAAATAGAGCAAACAACCATAGAGGGAGGGAAGAAAGTTGGGAGGGGTAGAGACGGTCATGGCAGCCTAACAGAACAACCTCCTGTTCAGAATGCTTGGTCCCAGGTAAATGATAGTGGCCTGGGGCAGGCTGGCCACTGCCTCAGGTAGGCTCACACCTTCTCTGCATGACTTCCAGGATATCATATTAGGAGTGTTGAGTTTCTCAATTTTAGAATCCTCCTTTGCACGAATTCCAAGCCCACGTAGCTTCACTGAAGCTACACTTTCTCAAAGCTCTATAGACCTTGACCTTCTGGAAAGAGTTCATGCATCTTTCTATATACCCTTGTTCTCTCGTTTCACCGGCTAAGAGTCTGGCCATCTAGAACATCGGCTCTCAGACTTCGAAATGAAGTGCTTGTTTAGGAAGTGGGGCAGGGTTTATCTGAACAGTTGTCCCAGTGAGCCTGACACTCATGACCAGCCACCACCCTCTGCATAGCCACACTCTGGTTTGCTCTGGGTTTTGAGCAGAGCTTTGGTTCACGGTAGATTCCCTTCCAGGGGGCGGTGTCATGGGAGCAGCTGGACGGAATGCAGCCCATGTGGTCTTTAAAGACCTCAGGAACCTGTGACCGGGAACCACTTCTGACCCGGAAGACATTCTGATTCACCCTGGAGCTTTTAATCTCCCATTGGGTCAGTTTCCAAGTAAGCTCTGCTCCAATGGATATCCCTTGATCAACCAATACCTCAAAGCACAAATCACCATTTTAGAAGAATTGCACAAGTTAATCATGTGCCCCCATGCCTCCAAAATGAACTGGTTTTGTTTTATTAAAAATGTTTTGTATACATAGTGTGTATATATTTTTCTTTGGGGACTCTACTGTTTAGCTAGGAGTCCTTGTGTATAAGAAACTATTAATGCACTGGCCTATAAACACAAAGGGAGCTCTGGTGAATCGGAAAGGGAACACGTGGATCGGGGTGGTGTAGTCCGTAGGGAATTGCACTATTAACCCAAAGGTACCTCATTGGCTCTCCAACTCCACAAGGCAAAAGAAAGATGGGAGATCTCCCAAGCAATTTACAGCTCCAAATATCTGCTGGTGGATCAACTATGAGTTGGTTCTGATTAGATGGCAATGAATTTAAGTTTTAGTTAACCCAGAGGTTGAGGGCTTAAAAGTCCATTTTGATAACTGCCTTGAGAGAAAGGTCTGGTGATAGCATTCAGAAAAATCAATCAGTGAAAACTCTTGGAATTCAACTCAACTCCAACATGCATGAGGCTGCCGTGAGTTAGAATTGATTATGGCAACTGGTTTTTGCTTGCTTTTTTAAAAAAAAATATTCATTGAATTAATTTGTCTATGGTAATCTATATTTCCCTGGGCTTCCAACCAATGTTAAAAAATTTTAATGAAAAAGAATAACTAGAAGAGAAAAAATGATAGATCAGAGCTCTGCAATGGCAGACTCATAAAAGGCATAGTGAAGCCTTTCAGTAGCCTGTAGAGATTGTGTTGTTGCCAGGACAGTGACACATATTCAAAGCGGCACAGGCGGCTGCCACCTTTGAGCTGGACATTGTTGTTTCCCACTCTGCTGTTTAAGAGATTTGGTTGCTATACAACATCCACCTAAACTGCCCTTCTTTACTAAGCAGGAGATTATGTTTCTAACAAAGTGTTGAATTGTAATTTTTCCCTTTCCAATTTATCTACATGTTAAAACGCGAGGCCTTTCTATTTTTGCTTTGTCAGTCATTGCTGTACTGGGAAGTACAGGTTCAAAGTCCTGATGCTCCCATTAGTTTGAAACAGCCCATTTGACCACACAAGCAGCCCATCTCATTGTCTGAGACTCATAGATTGGCACAACTGCCCTGGTGAGGACCAATCAGCTGCTGCCACAGCTTCCTGATAAGTCTTAAGAAAGGAGCCACTTCCCTCAGTGGCCCTCAAAGCCATATACAGAACATGCCCTGAATAATGCTTGACATCTCAAGACATCAAAACCTCCAGAGTCAGGCCTGTAAGGGTTGAAAGTACCAGCAAGGTGGATTCAACTAAGACAATCTGGGAAAACATTATTCCCACTTCTAGGGCTTCGACCTCCTACTTCCCGTAGGCTATACCTGTTGCTTCACCAAAACCTCTCCAGATAGCCATGTTATTCTAACATGAATTGGGATGTTGCTTTGGTCACAAAGACTCATACAAATGACCTCATGGTGACAGCAACTCTCTGGGCCAACTTCTCCAGTTCTAGCAGCTGAGGCCACTGTTCAGAACAGGCCTGACTGCGAGATGATGAAAGATTTTCAGGAGCATCCATCTCCTCGCTCGTTTCCTAGGCAAATTTATACCGAATAAGCTACACCCACCTCATTATTTAATAAGCTCCGTTTTCTGCCTAAGTGTTGCATTAAAGATCGAAGTTGATAATTAGATAATCATGTATCAGCTCTACAATAAACACTCGGCACATGGTGGTGGTGCTGCTGCTGGTATTGCTTGTAAAGATGTTATTGTCATGTTTATGCTCTGCAGAAAGCAATTTTTTTTCAGTAATCTTTTTTTAACATGATACAATTGAAGCCAGCCTGTTGGAAGCTGTATGGCGAGGATAGAGGAGCATTACCTCTGGACCAAGCAAGCTCTTCCACATGGAAGAGGGAAGGAGAAGGAAAAACCAAATCAGTGGTCATTGGGTTGATTATGACTCCTGTGTCAGAGTAGACTAGGAAGAACAGCTGAATATTTACTGCATGGCTGATTCTGCAACGTGATTATCATATTTGATTTTTAAAACAACACTTACACAGGAAACTAACCTTATTAAGTAATGAGATGGGCTTAGCTTCATCTATATAAATGTGCTTGGGGAAGGAGGGAGGGGCGAGAACTGTGCTTTGCAGGGTTTTCAGTGACCGTTTTCTCAGAAGCCAATCATTAAGTCTCTAAGTGAACTTGTACTTCCAACCTTCAGGTTTGCAAGCATGTTAAGCATTAGCACATTAAGCTTTTCCACATGTCGAGCTACGAAATTAGGACTCCCTCCATGGAGCCTTTGTGCAACTGAGCTTCTGAGCTTGTTGAAAATTCCATCTTGGTTCAGGTTGCCAGTTTTTCTAAGATTTACTTTTCTCAAAAGATTTCCTAAGGCTCACAGGGCGAGGAAATGATGGTTTTGCATTTGATTTGGGTTGGCTTTAAAAAGAAAGAAAAAGCCGCTCCCCTGCCCGCCCCTCTCTGGATCCCTAGGGTCCCGGGATGGGGGGCGGTGAGGCAGCACACAGCCCACCGCCCCCATGGCCGCCCGTCGGAGCCCGAGGAGGAGGGGGCGCCGGGAGGCGCCGGACACCGCCCTGCTGGCCCCGCTTGCGCTGGGTTTGGGCCTGGC